AGATATTAAGGAATTGTGTTAATGTTTTACACACCATGAGGCTATTGTGGTTATATATTTTTAAAACAGTCCATATCTTAGATACTATACGTGCTGACATATTTACAGATGAAATGATTCAATGCCTGGCATTTGTTTCCAGAACAATCCAGAGAAGGGAGAATAACTGAAACCAGATAAGGCATGTGTTAATAATTGTTGAAGTTGAGGGGGTGGGAGAAGGTACCTTAGGGTTCATTGTACTGTTCTCTCAACTTTAACACAGTTTGAAAATGTTTCCATAATACAAAGTTAAGAGAGAGAATATGGATAGGAAGAAAGAAACTGGAGACAATATGGATAACTTTATTAAGTTTTGAGGAGCAATGTGGCAATTACCAGAGGGAAAAATGGGGTCGAGAGAGGGTGCTTTTCTGTTTGCAGGGAACATCTGTATGTTTGCTGGCTGCAGGGTCTGAACCCTGGAGAGGGGAAGCAATCAGGCGGGAGGCAGCGTGGCACTTTGGTCTGGGGCTAATGCACCTGCTTCCATGGCCTGGGTCTTACCCTGAAGCTGCTGTCGCTCAGGGAAAGGCAGCCCCTGTAATCAGGCAGCAAATCCTTGGAACCGCAAGTATCTGACCTGAGGGAGGGTAACCATCGGCAGGGATTCTGGCATCAAATATCAGGTGATTGGACAGGGCCCCACTTCTCTTTCAGTCTTGAGATTGGCCCCTTCATTGCAGAGGACCCAGAGCAGACCGCGGACTCCTGCAGACCAGCCTGTGTCCTTCCCCGCCCCCGCCCTTCACGCCCACACACGCAGTCACTGCTGATTGGACATGGACTGGACACGTGACCCAAAGTAGCCAATCAACTGGCTTAGGAGCACCCCGCGCCATCTGCAGCCTGGGATGCGCAGAGCTGAGACCACTGGGTTTCCTCTCCTGAAAACTGGACCCAAAATGCAGGAAAAAAAGTCAGTAAGAGGCACTATACTTGAAAGAGTGTAACCTTAGGGTTGGCAGTGATGTGCAAGATAAAGTCAAAGGGAAGGAAAGTGAGCAAGTACAAGGAGAGGGAATCTACAGAGCAAAGGAAGCCGCAGCGAGGCACAGGGACCAGACTGCACAGCCCCAGAGCTGGCAAGTTCCCTGCCTTGGTTTCCCTCAGGTTCTGTTTCAGGTTTCCCTCAGTATTGTTCCCCAATACTACCTGACATCAGGCCCAAGAATAATTAACTTCCTGTCCTGAGAGCTTGTGACATCTGATTGGCCTCCTTTCGAACCTTAAAGCTTCAGAATTCATGAATCTTAATGGGTAATACAAAAGGTGAATGCAGATGAACATGTATGAACATTGCAAAGCAGCAAGGGAGAAAAGTGATACAATTGCTTCCATTCTATCATTAATGTCACTTAATTTTGAATAAATTCACTTTAGATACATTTGAAAGTACCTTTCCAGCTATAGTTATTTATTTACTGGGTTAAAAACTGAAGTAAAACTTTTCCTTCACTCATGATCTAAGTCTACTATGGAAATTTTGCCAGAAAGAGCTATTAAGTAACTCCTGCAAAGGGTACAATTAGTGCCTAAGCTGACTCAAAAGGCAAGGGGGGCATCCTAGGGTTTGCTGTGTATGTGTGCAAAAATTAGCAGGAAAATATCTAGAACAGCACTTCAAAGAAAATTCATGCCTCAGAAAGTTTCTTATAAAAAATGCACAGGCCGGGTGTAGTGGTTCACACCTGTAATCTCGCACTTTGGGAGGCCAGGGTGGGCAGATCACTTGAGGCCAGGAGTTCGAGACCAGCCTGGCTAACATGGAGAAACGCAGTCTCTATTAAAAATACGAAAATTAGCCAGGCATGGTGGTGTGTGCCTGTAGTCCGAGCTACTTGGGAGGCTGAGGCAGGAGAATTGCTTGAACCCGGAAGGTAGAGGTTGCAGTGAGCTGAGACGGTGCCACTGCACTTCAGCCTGAGCCTGACAGAGCAAGAATCCATCTCAAAAAAAAAAGTACAATCACCCCAAACAAAATTTTGGAATTAAAAAAAAAAAAAAGGAGATTCTAGTTTATAGGATGCCTTTCTTTTTTGCCTTTCTAGTTTATGGGATGTTTTTCTTGATATAAAACAACATACTACCAAGCCCTTCACAAGGCACATCAGTTAAAAAAAAGCAGTCTCTGTTACCAATGCTCAAATATCTGTCTACTGGGACCAGGCATGGTGGATACAAATGGCAACAATATGGTTTCTACCCTTAGGGGAAAATCCCAGAAGCAGAACTTTTCCTGGAGGAGATAGTCCCTGAGCTTGATCCTGAAGAAGGGTGCCCCGTAAAAAGCAGGACAGGAGAAAGGGCAGGCCCCGCACCAGGAACATTTTGTGTCTAAACAAGCTCAAGGGCTACAGGCTGAATCTTGTAGTGTGCATACAATACAGAACTCACATTTTAGTGACTGAGAAATACAGTGTTTTATAAAGGTAAGGCTAACAAAATGAAAGCCTTAGAACACTACTCCAATGCAAACTTATCTTCATGGTACCCATTTCTACTCCTTTTTTTCTTTTTTTTTTTTTTTTTTTGTGACAGAGCCTCACTCTGTCCCCAGGCTGGAGTACAGTGGTGTGATCTTGGTTCACTGCAACCTTCGCCTCCTGAGTTCAGGCGATTCTCCTGCCTCAGCCTCCTGAGTAGCTGGGATTACAGGCATGTGCCACCACGCCTGGCTACTTTTTGTAATTTTAGTAGAGATGGGATCTCGCCATGTTGGCCAGGCTGGTCTCCAACCCCTGACCTCAGGCGATCCGCCCTCCTAGGCCTCCCAAAGTGCTGGGATTACAGGCATGAGCCACCATGCCCCAACTTCTCCCATTTTTAAAAGTTATCACTGCCAGATTTTCCTGCAGCCCTAGGCCCAAAGGATTTCTCTCATCCTCTTTCAAGTCCTCACCATTCTGAAGGCACTTGCCCTGGATGTTTATAGGACAGCTAAGTGGCCCTAAGGAAGAGTGAACTTTGGGAAAAGATCAGTGGGAAAGAATTTAGTGGGACTGTATTCCTAGCAGGTACTTTCAAGAGGAAATCTATAAATCGATAAGGAAAGCTGAAAACACAATATGCTCCTGAAATTGAAATATGTATATTTTGATCTGTTGAAACCTAAGAATGAAACTGAACCAGGTTTTGGCAAATTAATTTACATTCCCCAAGCCCTAGATGTTAAGTGGGTGTTCCTTGGAATCACCTGTGGGGCCAGGAAAGAAATAGAGGGAAGAGAAAGAAGGGTGGTAAGGAGGAAGGGAAGAAACCAGCACTGTCCCAGAGGCAGAGCTGGGTGTGTGCTGAGGTGCTGAGAGTAGGGGAAAGACAGGATTTTCACACCAGAAAACAAAGAAATGAGCAGAGGCACCAGAGAATAATGTGGTCCTTAAAGTTTGGCAGCCTTTCTCAAATTCCTTATCAACATCCCTCAAGGAATCAGAAGTAAACTGTCAACTGCAGCTTCTCCTCAGTAGACTGAGCCACCCACAGCCAGATAACTGCACGATCAACTAAAATTTTACGTCACATGTATTAGGTGCATACATAACACTACTTCAAGGCATGATGGAGCTATACAAGGCCAGGCAAGGTGGCTCACATCTGTAATCCCGACACTTTGGGAGGTCAAAGCGCTTGGACCCAGGAGTTCAAGACCAGCCAGGGCAAGATGGTGAGACCCCATCTCTACCCAAACATTTTAAAAATCAGCCGGGTATAGCGACACATGCCTGCTGTGGGAGGATGGCTTGAGTCTGGAAGGTTGAGATCCACCATGATGGTGCCACTGCACTCCAGCCTGGACAACAGAGCGAGACCCTATCCTATTAAAATTGTGTGTGTGTGTGTGTGTGTGTGTGTGCGCGCGCGCGCGCACGCGCGCACCCATGCATTTAGAAAACTGTATATAGATGAGTGTGTGTGTGTGTATATATACACACACATAAACTCTGATAAAAAAATTAACTATTAATAAAATGCAAGACAGAGGTAACTACCACCACCTGTACAAAGTACACTTTTTTTTTTTTCCCCCAGACGGAGTTTGGGTCTTATTGCCCAGGCTGCAGTGCAGTGGCACGATCTCGGCTCACCACAACCTCCGCCTCCCCGGTACAAGGGACTCTCCTGCCTCAGCCTCCAGAGTAGCTGGGACTACAGGCATGAGCCCCCACGCCCGATTAATTTTGTATTTTTAGTAGAGACAGGGTTTCTCCATGTTGGTCAGGCTGGTCTCGAACTCCTGACCACAGATGATCCGCCCGCCTCGGCCTCCCAACATGCTGGGATTACAGGTGTGAGCAACCGCGCGCGGCCCAAAGTGCACTTTTTAATATGCCTTCACTATTCAACCACGGGCACCCATGGGCCCGAAAGAACAAAGGCACAGTTAACTTCACTGCTCTGGAGACAAGAAGGCTGACAACAAGGAATCTGACGCCTTCCTTCAATGGGAAGGAAACACCCTGACGCTGGAAGTGGTCTCCACACCGGGTTGTACACTGATGGGGGGCGGAGTCGGGGGCAGGCCAACACCTCAACAGCAGTCACCAAAACTGCGCTTTTAACTATCAATAGCAAGTATTAACATGCTTATAGATTGCTGCTAACAGCTGGCCAAAGAAAGGTGCACACAAATGACCCTTTTTAAAAACTAAAAATAGCAAGGATTGTAAACGTGGGGGGTGGGGGTGTTGGGGGAAGCACACGGTAGAAATCAGTTTGGGTAGAATTCGGGCTGTAAATGGACACGCTTAGCGAACCGTCCGGGCTCAACCGCCCCCACCTCTCCTCTGGAAACAGCGCCTCGCCCAGGAGGCGCGGCCTGTGTGTTCGCCTAACACCTGCCGCGGCCTCCAGCGACCTGGTCGCGGACAGGACGGCGCCGTCACCCTCCCTGCGGGGCTAGTCCCGTCTCCGTCACGGAACGCTGTGACCTTAGCTACCCTGCTTAGTCTCAGTGTTCTCACTCGTAAAGGGGATGAGAGCACAGTCGTCGCAGGATGAGCCAGAATTCGTTTCGTTCAACACGGTGCCTGGCACTTCTCTGGGGACCTGCGGGCAGGCGCGGCGACATTCGACAGGGTCCGGGAGCCGCGGGCGCCGCGGCCTGCGCGGTCAGCCTCGGAACCTCCTGCAACGCCGGCTCCGGGTGAGCAGACCCAACTCCGCGGGGCGCCTCCACCTGCCCAGCTCCGCCAGCCGCGCCGCTCCCCGAGCCCGCCAGTGCCGCAGGGGGCGCAGGGCGTCGGAGGACCAGAGGCCGGGGCGGGGACAGCGACCCGGCGCCCACCCCGAGGGCCCCACACGCGGGAACCACGTCCCCGGCGTCTCCCCGGGCTCCAGGGGCAGCAGCGCGGCTCGGAGCCCTTTACCTGCCAACGATCACCACGCAGCCGGCCGCGGAGGACGCCATGGCTGGGCCGGGGACGCGGCGCCGCGGGCGCTGGGACCAGGCGCGGGCGGAGCTCCGAGCCGGGCGCTCCGGGGAGGGCGGGTCCCGCGCCCATTGGCTGCGCGCGCGGACCGGGAGGGCGGGGAGGCCGCTAGGTCCCGGCGGGGGAGGGGGTTGCGCGTCGCGGGCCGGAGACACCCGGAGACGCCCCGCTCGCCGACCCTCGTGGGCAGGGGCAGGACCAGGACCAGCGCGGGGGCACGTCGGGGTTGGGGGAAGTGGGAAGCCCACGCGCCTGTGACGCGCAGCATTCACCGTGTCTCAGGAGGGGGCGCGGCCAGGATGGCACGGGCTGTAGCGCTAAAGCGCCCTGGAGAAACCGTCAGAGACTGTCCCCTTCGCTGACTGGTCTCTGAAGGACGCCAGGTGCGCACTGGGCGCGGGGACGGCGACACGTTAACACCAGAGGCGCTCATCTGCGCGGCGGCAGGACGCGGCTGAATCCCCCGCGGAGCACGCGCCGCAGTGGGTTCCTGTGTCGGAAAGAGGAAATGCCCTGGTGCCCTGACTCCTGGCCGCCTTGGAGCCCGGGGCTGGGCTTTTTTTTTTTTAAGTGTCAGCTCATATGAATATTTTTGATTTAGTTCTAACATCATTGTGTTTCTCTTTAAACTTTTTGTTTGTATAATTAAACCTTATGTTCTCTTATGGTGAAATCTTCATGCCAAACAAAATCAAATTTATTTTTGGCTTAACTGAAATACAAAAAAATAAAAAATAAAAATAGTAATACCTGTATTGGTTTGAAAAATAAAACCAATATTTTATCTGTCCCCGCCCACATCATGCTGATTGGTCCATTTTACAGAGTATTGATTAGTCCATTTACAATCCTCTAGCTAGACACAGAGCACTGATTGGTGCATTTACAATCGTCTAGCTGGACGGAAAGTTCTCCAAGTCCCCACCCTACCCAGAAACCCATAAATAAATACTGCACATATAACCACATACTCAGCTGCTGCCATTGGGCCAGATGATGGTAAAATCAAACAGGACAGACTTCAGAGGCTGAATTTCTTATGTTTTTCCACTGTTTCACAAAGTCAGGTAGGATTGATTAATGCACTCCTTTAACAGCTCAATATTACCACAAGAGAAGACAAGTAGGCCACAGTTGCCAGCTTTTAAGAACTCACAGCTTGAATGCCAACACTTCAAACTGAAAATGTTCTTAGGCAACCATATGACAAGAGAATCACAAGTAACTCCAGAAACCACTCTTACTGAGATACAGTCTCACGACAAAAAGGACTATAAAGAAAATCTTGAACTTCACGTGGTAGTTTTATTTTTCAAACCAATACAGGTATTACTATTTTTATTTTTTATTTTTTTGTATTTCAGTTAAGCCAAAAATAAATTTGATTTTGTTTGGCACGAAGATTTCACCATAAGAGAACATAAGGTTTAATTATACAAACAAAAAGTTTAAAGAGAAACACAATGATGTTAGAACTGAATCAAAAATATTCATATGAGCTGACACTTTAAAAAAAAAAAAAAAAAAAGGCCAGGCACTTGGCTCACGCCTGTAATCCCAACACTTTGGGAGGCCGAGGCAGGTGGATCACAAGGTAAGGAGATTGAGACTGTCCTGGCTAACACGGTGAAACCCCATCTCTACTAAAATTACAAAAAATTAGCCAGGCATGGTGGCGGGTGCCTATAGTCCCAGCTACTCGGAAGGCTGAGGCAGGAGAGTGGCTTGAACCTGGAGGCAGAGCTTGCAGTGAGCCGAGATCGTGCCACTGCACTCCAGCCTGGGCGACAGAGCAAGACTGCGTCTTAAATAAATAAATAAATAAATAAATAAGGCTGAGCACAGTGGCTCCCACCTATAACAATCCCAGCACTTTGGGAGGCCAAGGTGGGAGGATGGCTAGAAGCCAGGAGTTTGAGACCAGCCTAGGCAACATAGCAAGACCCCATTTCTACAAATAAAAATTTGGGGGCTGGGCACAGTGGCTTATGCCTGTAATTCCAGCACTTTGGGAGGATGAAGTGGGTGGATACCTGAGGTCAGGAGTTCAAGACCAGCCTGACCAACATGGCAAAACCCCATCTCTAATAAAAATACAAAATTAGCCAGGCATGGTAGTGCATGCTTGTAACCCCAGCTACTCAGGAGACTGAGGCAGGAGAATCTTTTGAACACAGTAGGTGGAGGCTGCGATGAGCCAATTGCGGCATTGCACTCTAGCCTAGGCAACAAGAACGAAACTCCGTCTCAAAAAAAAAAAAAAAACCATAAAAACATTTTTTTGAAGAACTAGCCAGGTGTAATGGCACATACCTGTAGTCCCAAGTACTCGGGAGGCTGAGGTAGGAGGATCCTTTAATCCTAGGAGTTTGAGGCTGCAGTGAGCTATGATCCTGCCATTGCACTCCAGCCTGGGCAGCAGAACGAGATCCTGTCTCTCAAAAATAAAAAAGAGTATTTTCCAGTTCCGCCCTCTGAAATGGCCTCAGATTCATGCCACTGGTATTTCAAATGTGACCTGAAACCCCAATGCTCAAATCTTGCTGTTTTTTCACTAGAAGGAACCAGAATTCCTTAGAGAAATGATTGTGTTCAGAGAAGGAAGGGGACAAGGCTGGTCTGGGACACTTCTGTTGCCAGAGGCAAGAAACCCTGCAGAGATTAATGGCAAGATACCAAAGGGACTGAAAGCTCCATCTGCACGATGGTTGAAGTGAGGAGATTTACTCAGAATACCCAGCCAAATGCTCTGCTCTTCGGTGACCTCAGTGTGGTCGTATGTATCTTTTAAGAATGAAGTATGTAAAGGTTTAAGAGAAGAAATAAACGTTTAAGTATTTACGTTTTTGAGTTAGTAATGTTTAATTTTTGAGAGATTCAGTTTCAGAGACAGCCTTGTAACTGCTGTTTTAAAATAAACTGCTTTAGACGATATTTTAAAATGAAAACTTCCTAATTTCTTGCAGAGTTTTAGAACATCTAAGAGAACTTTAGAATCACTTTAGGATCATTTATAAGTTTTTAATTACATTTTTAAGACTTGTTTTGTATTTGGGGGAGTTTTGTTAAGTCAGATCTGTTGAAATATACAAAAAGGATATCAAATAAAGTACATTTATAAATGCTGGGGGCGGGGGTTGTTTTATTTTTATTTTTGAATAATGGTCATAATAGAGGTTTCCTCTTAAAGGGTTATTGTTAATGATTAACCGATAGAATCCATTCTAAAATGTGCTGGGCACATGGCCAGTGTTGGGTCATTCTGGGTCCTCTGTAGTCTCACACAACAGCTCTTCCTTACACATACTCTCACTCGGCCCTCCCTGGCACCTCCCTGGCATATGTAAAGCAGATTCCAGCCCCACCATTCTACATGTGACAGCCCCAAGACTTCCAGGGCCACTTAGCAGGTCCATCTCAGACCAGATCTTTCCTTTCTAGTCAAAATGTCTTGAATTATATATTTATCCTAAGCTTGAACAGTGTTTTACAAAAGATGAATTTGAAAACTCAGGCATAGCCTCCAGGAACATGCAAAGGTGTTGCAGGGTCATAGCAAACTAGTTCATAAAACCAGTGCACACGTCGCTGCTTCTGTCTGTTCCTAACCCCTGTCTAAACACACTGGTCATAGGTCCTTCTCCTCCTGTCCACTTCTGACATCCTTTAAAATGTCACAAGTAATAGCTGACTTTAATACTCCACTTTACAAATGCTTTCTGATCATCCATCCCTTGCCTATATTTATTTTGCTTAGAAAGGAAGGTCGGGCAAGGTGGCTAATGCCTGTAATCCCAGCACTTTGCGAGACTGAGACAGGAGGATTGCTTGAGCCCTGGAGTTCGAGGTCAGCCTGGGCAGTATGTCAAGACCCTATATCTACAAAAAAAAATTTTTTTTTTAATTATCCAGACATGGTGCTATGTGCCTGTGGTCACAGCTACTAGGGAGGCTGAGGTAGGAGGATTGCTTGAGCCCAGCAGGTCAAGACAGCAGTGAGGTGTGATTGTGCCACTTCACTCTAGCCTGAGCAACAGAGTGAAACCTTATCCCCCAAACCTGCAAAAAAAAAAAAAAAAAAAAAAAAAAAAAAAAAAAAAGGGAGGGAGGGAGGAAGGGAGAGAGAAAAGAAGAGAGGGGGAAAGGAAAATGATAATTTCTGAAATGAACAAAACATAAGAGAAATGTTATTTTGGTAAAATTCCTCCACAAGAAAAAGGTGTTGCATTTTTCAGCTGTAGTTGCCCAAGCCAGAAAGCTCATAGTCCTGAACAAGGAACAAAATAATTTAAACATGCCACAAAGTGAATCGGGAATTTATTTTTTCTCTACAACCCTTTCCTCCTTAACATCAGAGTACTTTTGATACATTATTTTTCGGGGGATCCAAAGATGGAAGACGGTGCATATGTGTGTGGGAGACTTTTGGGGTGACAGAAACATGTTCCTAAAACTGACAAATTCCTCCCCATATAAATTAATCACGTGTACCTGTGGTTCCATGAGGCCTAAGCAAGCATGTATTACACTATCTTAGTTATACTACACATATCAGACTGAATGTTTATGTCTCCGCAAATTCATACATTGGAATTCCAACCCCCAAGGTGATGTTATTAGAAAGCGAGGCTTCTGGGTTGTGTTAGGTCACGGGGCAGAGCCCTCATGCCCAAGATTAGTGCCCTTATGAGAGTGGCCCGAGAAACCCCTCACCCCTTTCACTATGTGAGGAGACTGTGAGAAGATGGATGTCTATGAACCTAGAAGTGGGCCCTGTCCAGACACTGAAACTTCCAGTGCCTTGATCTTGGACCCCTCAGCCTCCAGAACTGTGAGAAATAAATGTCTGTTATTATAAGCCACCCAGTCTATGGCATTTTTGTTTTTTAGAGAGGGGTCTTGCTATGTTACCCAAGCTAGAAT